TTAAGTCATATACAACATAAATTTGCAGACACTTAAATAGGAAAAAAAAATAATTTTAAGTGTTTTATTATTACTTGATTTCAATAAAATTTTCTTGATTTTTGATTGAGCCTTTTTTTTACTAAGTCATTATAAATCTAGGATTTCTTTTTAGTGTTTGGGGCTTTACTTTGTTAAATTTTGAAATTTTAATGTTTGATGATGAAAAAAAATTCTTCATGAAAAAAAAAATGAAAATAACGCTAATTGCGTCCTGCTGTTGTTGTTACTATGGCCTTTTTTTTATGGCTATTATGGTCTTTTTTTGCGGTCTCAATGAACCGCTAAATATGTGAATTTTGTTTACACCAAATATCAGTTGAATAACGGTGACGGTGGGTGCCAATTTTGCTAAATAGCAACCGTTATACTGCTATTGCACTAGTATTTGAATCTATGGTTGACACTTTTGAAGGTAATTAGCAATTTGAAAACTCTCATGTCCCTTTATTTAACATACATACTCAAACTCCAGCTTACGTAAGGAAAGACTTGAATCAGTCATAGCTTAATGAAAGTTAAAAATACTATTAATTGGAGCTGATAACAAAGTGCTCGATTATAATGAAAATTTCAGAATATGTGAGGAAATATTTAAAAGATGAAAGGTTAGATCATCTAGAGTTCTCCAAGACAGTCATGGATGAGTTCCCAGATGAACCTGAAAACACAAAAAGCCAAACCACATTGGACTCTTTTGCCAAATTAGAGTCCTGAGTAATTACTTCTATGTTCCTTGCATAAATTCATTTTTATCCTGACATGATATCTGTTTTTATCCATTTGAGTGCTTGAAGAATATTAAAAAGTAGTTTCTTGAGCCAAATATTTGATTTTCTGTAGTGTTGAAATAAAGGGAGAATGAAAAAATAAATGAAGTGTTGACATGACATTTATTTGATTTAGAGTTCCCTATTAAGGGAAATAAATTTAAACCTATCCCTATTAAAGAATAAAAATTTTAAATTACTCATATGTGAGAAAAAACACAATGATAAGTTTAGTTATGATAGCAATGAGATTAAAAATAAAAATATATGTTTTAATGCAAATCCAATGATGATAATAAGATAACTTGTAATAAGAAGAGAAATGACTTTTAAAAGCATTAAATTAAAAACTATACACAATAAAAAAATTAAATTATTTGATATTTATAAAATTAATAAATAATTAAAAAATATTAAATTATTTTTATGTCAAATAATAATTTATTAATAAATAATTAATAATGAATAATATTATTAAATAATATTTTTTCTTTTATTAAATTAACAAAATTATATTTTGAAAAAAATATTGACAAATTTTTTAAATAAAAAAGTAAAATGAAAATTTAAAAAAAGGAAAAGTTAAAATGTAAGGATATAATTTTCTTTATATTATGATTGAAAGGATGAAAAGTAAAAACAAAAGAAGACAATGGTGCTTTTGTTTACTGCACCTATAACTTGCAGTGAAAATAGCTAAATTTTGGAACTGCGATGAAGTCCAAATGGGATTTTGGCATATTTTACAAATTTTTTTATGCAAACAGTAACTCTATGAGAGTAAGTTTGCATCCAAAAGAACTTTTAGTCAATTATGCCTCCCAAAATATGTCATGTTTCATAAAGTTAAATTATGCAATTAATCTCTGTAGTTATATAAAATTTAAATTTAAATTTTTATATATAATTTGTTGAAATTAGATTTTCATATTAGTTTAATTTAATAATATTAATCTAATTGATAACAATGTTACTTGATATCTATTAAATTAATTTATGTGGTGTTGACTATACTAACGTGATGTTGACTGTAATGACGTAATATGACTTATTAATGTGAAAATTAAAATTGATAAAATCAGTTATTAAATTATGTAAATGATCATTATATTTATATAAAATTTAAAATTTAGTTCATATATTCGCATAAAATTTGAAATTCAATCCTTATACTCACACAAAATTTTAACTTTAATCCTTCCAATATAAAAAATATTTTGAATTTTTTTAGTTTTTTAAAACTAATAAATTTTAAAAATATTTTAATTCCTTTAATATATTAGTTTTTAATATATATGATTAATTATTAATAATATCATATTAATAATAATATTATCATTTAGATTAATCAATTATAATATTAATAAGTTAAATTAATATATCAAAATTAATATTATTTTAATTAGCATAAATATATCATATAATAAAATTTATAACGAACCAAACTTTTGAATAGGGTTGCATTTGTAATTAATCTGAAATAAACTATGAATGAAGTAATCATTTCATCCAACCAAATAAAATAAAAGATTCAAACCTAAATTTATACTATGGATGAGCTCTTATCTATTTAAAGGACAAACTTTAAATTCTAATAAAATGAAAAGAGAAAATAATTTATTTGATAAATCGAAACACCAAATCATGTATCATAATGAAAACTTTTAATTTTTTGGGTCTTCACAAAAAAAATTATTTAAATAATTATGTTAAATTAAATAATAAGATTAATTTTAACACATTAAGTTTTGTAAATTATTTTAATGTATTTAGAATCTTGAACCTATATTTTATTATAAAAAGTTATTTAAATAAGATTTAATTTAAAAGAATATAAACATTATTTTATAAATAATTTTACCCTATGATGTAATTATAATTTTAATTCATTAGATAAATTAATAAAAAAATAGTTTTATTAAAATTAGATAGTGACATATTTGTATCATATATTGATAAATTTGTGATAGATTTTTAATAAATTGGTTTAAGTTTTTTTTTCATATGGCCACAATATACTACAATTATAACAAAAAAGAATGACAAAATTAGTAACAGATTTATATTTTATGACAGAATGTAACAAGAAATAATGATAGAACTAGTGATAGGGTTTCACATGGGTGACAAAAAATTGTGACAGATTTAATAACAATATATGAAAATTGTGAGTAAATATTGTGATAGATTTTTTAATATTGTGATAGAATATTATAAAAGAATATTGTAGCAATTTTTAAATTTTAATATTTTTAAAAAATTAAAAATTTATAAAAATTTGAAAATTTATAAAAATTCAAAATAATTTTTTGTATTAGAGAGGCTAAATTTTGAATTTAGTATGAGTATAAGGATTAAATTTCAAATTTTATCCGAATACAAGAACTAAATTTTAAATTTCGTATGAGTATAAAAATCATTTGTATAATTTAATAATTGATTTCATCATTCTCAATTATCACATTAGCAAGTTAATGCTATGTCATTAAAGTTAATGTCATGTTATTAAATTCAATGTCATATCAACATTGCCAACAACCAAATTAGCTAATTTAACGAAAAACAAGTAACATTGTTATCAATTAGCCCAACATTATTAAATTAAATTAATATGAGAATCTAATTTCTACAAATTATTATTTACGGTTTAAAGTTCAAATATCATATAAGTACATGGATTAATTGCATAATTTGATCTTTTTAAAAAAAAAAAACTTACTTAAGGATTATTTTAATTATAAATATTAATTAATTAATTAGTTACATATTATTTTATAAAATTTTCTATTTTAATGATAAATTATTATAATTATAACTAGTACCAGCCTTGTGCTTTGCTGCATGTTTAATTTTGTTTGACTTTTATTATTATTTGAATACAAATGAATATCAATTAGATTTAACTAATAATAATAAATTTTAAAAATATAAAAATCCTACAAACAATTATTTTAAAAAGCTACATATATAGTTGAAATATATAAGTTAAATTTTACATTTCAGCCCTCTGTCGTTATCATATAAAATAAAGTTATCAAATTCTTTTAAAGGAATTATTAGTTTTTTTTTTTAATTTAACACATATTTAAAAGTAATGGGATCAAATTAATAAAAAAATAGAGAGACTAAAATTAACATTTTGCTGCTATATAAATACTTTTCTTGTAGTTAAACCTCCGAATTCCAACCTATCATCCTAGACTTTTGTGTCATGTTGGAAGACAAATTGTTTTGTTCTTTATTTTTTTTTCTCAAGCAAAAGAAATTCGAATTCAAATTCAAATCAGACTGTTTTGAACTATTTAAACTTCAATTTTAGGGTATGTTAAGATATAACTGGCTTTTTGGTGACAATCCTATTGCCGTTTAAATCTGTGTCCACCAGCCAGCGAAGACTCTCCGATGCGATGAGATCGAGGGCGATTGATCATCGACCCAAATGGGCCTAATCATCGAGCAAACAAATTTTTTTTTCGCTTTTATCCTCAAAGTTTAAATGTTTATCAAAAAATGCTTTGACCTTTTTTTTTATTTTGATTTTTTATTATTACATAATATAAAAATTTTATTATTATATAATATATAAATAAATTTTAATTTTTATTATTAATTTTTATTTTAATATTTTAATTATTATTTTGTTTTTTCATTGTAATTAATCATATCATCAATAATTTTTTTATCTAAGTACATACGTATCATTAATTTTAATTTTAATTTTAATTTTATAATAATAAATTTTATTTTATTATTATTTTTAATTTTATTGAAATTAATGTCATCATTTATCTAAATGAATACTTACGCTTATTAGCTTTTTGGTAAAAATATATATATATTAGGTTTGCCTACATTGATAAATTTTTTCACAGGATTTTAGCTCGACCTTTTTAATAATACATAACGTAAATGCAGCCTGAGTACCTCCTTTGCGTTCAAAGCAGAAACATGAGAGTTGGAACAAGTGTTTTTAATTGATTGAGCTTTGGTGAATATAACACGTTTAGAAAGCAAGATTCATTGAACCCCAACGAGATTCACACAAGTGGCAAAGACCAAAGAGACCCACCAAATTGAGTCTACCGTCCTGGCGGTTGCTAGATGCTTGGATTTCAAAGGTCAACATAAGCTACCTTTGATTTTGTGTCTTAAAGCCTTTTTGTTTTTAATTAACCCTTTGGCTTAGGCAATTTTGGACCTCAAAAACTTTCTGGTTCAAGCTTCACCTACCCTTTCAAAAACACCACATTCTTCTCACCTTTCCTTTGCACCAACAGGACTTTTCATTTCCTTTTTTTTCCCATTCTCCTATTTCCTTGTTCATGAATCTTTGACTGAACTCTTCAAACTCTCATTTCCTTTGATACCAACTACCATAGTCATCATTTTCTTTAGTTGGTATCTTTTTATTTTCTTGAATTACACCTTCCAATTATTATAAAAATAACAAAAGCAAAACCCTGATCAGTTTATTGGTTTTTTTTTTTTTTGAAGTTTTTAACTGTTGTTGTTTTAAGCTCAACTTCACCAAGAAATATGGTGGGGGCTTTATCTGTGGTGGGTTCATCGGTTATGGACTCTCACACTGGTCCATGTTTGTGCTTGGATGCATTGCCATCGACCAACATGAACCTCAAAAGTGGTGGCTTATTGGTCTTGCGGAGGAATTCAATAAAAAGAAAACATACGGCGGCAAGGCCAGGGTCCATATTGGAGTTAGGCAGCTCTTTTGTAGATTCATGGCGTCATAGTAGGTTGTCATCCAAAATGATTCCAGGTATTGTGAATAAGAGTTCAAAGAAGATGCAGCGTAAGGACCGGAGGCTTGTAGTTTTCAACAATTTAGGAGGGCAGTATGAAGACAGTTTTGAGGATGTTAAAACGGTGAGATGTAGTAACCTCTTCAAAGTTAGACTTTTGCATTAATTTCTATATGTTTTCCTTTTTACAAGTAGAAATTATAATCATGATTAAACTATTTTTAACATGTATATATAGTGTAATTAGATATTGGTACTTCTTGAGGAAAAAAAAAACCAATAAACAACAATAAACACAGACCAGCAATGGCTTGTAAAAACTAATTAACATAATGTGGAACTTGAACCTGAGACTTATTGATTCTAGGCCTATGTCTTATTATTGAGGCAAGACCTCATTGGAAAATTTTGGATTAAGTTACTCAAGATTTTTTTTTTTTTAAATAATTTTCAGTCCAGATTGCATATCTCTTATGTTAGGATACAAAGCAATTGCTCAACTATTGACTACTTTATTGACTATGATTTGCTTCCTGCAGCAATTACTCAACTATTTCACATATAAAGCAGTGAGGACTGTTCTTCATCAGCTCTATGAGATGAATCCACCACAATATACATGGTTCTATCAGTAAGTGGCATCTCTCTGGTGCTATAGAAGTAACTAAGTCTAAAGATTTATTTATTAATGAATCTTATTCTGAAAACATATCTGAGCTTGGGTACAGTTTTAACAGAATGTGGACATAACGAAAGCTGCATGTCTAATCAAATTGTTGCGATGTTTCTTCTATTAAGTCCTGCTTCACTCTTCATTTTGGCAGGTTTGTTGCAACAAATAAGCCCAGTGATGGCAAGCGTTTCATACGCGTCCTTGGGAAGGTAGTTAAAGAGTCTTTTCTTCTTTATTCTTTCTCCTAGAGAACGTATTTCAAGAATCTTTTCTCTTTTGGACAATAAGAACAAATTCAAACTTAACTAGCTTAAGACAGCAAGCTTCTCCGGTCTGGGAAATCTAAATGGTGCAGAACCTGAAAATTGAGATTTTTTTTTTTCTCTTTCTTGGCCCTTCTAATGACAGAACTACAAGTGCAACCTATAACTAGATATCAACTAACATTATGTAGAACTGTGTATTTGATGTAAAATGTTAGAAAAAGACATTGCGTTTATTCATTCATCTTTGGCAATGGCAGGAGAAGCAAGAGCTTGCTGAAAGAGTGATGATAACAAGGCTTCATTTGTATGGGAAATGGGTTAAGGTAATGAAAAATCTCTCAGCATAAAGGTTTACTTGATTGTTTCTTTAACATTTGATGCAGGAAAAGTACGGAAATACATATCTGTTGACCCTGTCTGTTTTGTTGGTACAGAAATGTGACCATGCTCAAATATACAAAGAGATTTCTGATGAGAACTTGGAATTGATGCGCGAAAGGCTCATGGAGACTGTGGTTTGGCCCTCTGATGATACGAACGCAGAGAAGATTGGCTGAGGGGATGCAACTCTATCTGATTTTTTTGCTTTTTCACCTTTTCTTTCTTCTCTTCTTGTTATTAGCCTTAGGTATCCTTTCCGTAGAATCAACAAGTTTGGTCCCAATGAATGTTGTTACTTTATATTTTTTTCACCCAGCTAATAGGCATTGCTGAACACTGTTTATTATAAATCTTATATAATTAAGTACTACCAATCATTTCAGATGGTTCTAAAGGAAGTAACTGAAGCACTTTATCATGCATTTTTCCAGCAATCAAGTAGCAATAGAAAGCACTTTGTCATGCATGACCTCATTCATGATTTAGCCAAATTTTTGTCCAAAGGGTTGTTCGAGTTAGGAGGTCAATGATTCTAATGAAATCTAAAAGACAATTAGTCATTTTTCATTTGCAAGATCAGGTTATGATGAATCTCAAAAGTTCGACGCCTTTGATGAAACCAAGTGTCTGGGTACCTTCCCACCCCTAAAACACCTTTTCTTCTTAACTGAGGTAATTAGATACAACATTGTTATTTTGTTCTTTTTTTTATTGGTACTTAAGACTTAGGGATTGAATCCTGTCTTAACTGCAAAATAACAACTACCAAATATATTTTTTTTACTCAAAAAAAGTAAAGAAAAAATACCACCCCTTATTTAAATATCTAGTAACAGGCTCAAAATTTTGATTCACTATCCAGTAATATATTAAGCTTTCAAAAAAACTTAAAAAGAGTGTAACACTTTGGTCAAATAGCAGCCTTCTTAAGTATAGGTTGGAGCAATTTTTTTGCAGCAGAAAACAACAAAGCTTTTTCATTAGAGTGATACACTAATTTGACATGAAATATCTACAACTTCTCATGGTTACACTGTTACATGTACAATGCTCAATTGATACATACACAAAATATCAACCCAAAATGTATGTATCACTATAATGCAATAATTTGAGGTGAAGTGGGAGTTGATCCCGAAAACAATAAGGCTCCCACACTGCTCCAACTGCAAAAAAAAAAAAAAAAAAAAGAGGATAATAATAAGAACTGAAAGCAAAAAGCATATAAAAGAGAAAGTTTTAGCCATGAATTGAATAATTTGTATATCCGATACAACCATTGGTAATCAGAGATATATTTGACTTCAAAACAATCTGAAAATTTTTCCAAGTTGAAATGTTCCTCCAAACGGGAACTTTATCCAATTTGACCTTTGATATTTGGAACTGGAGCTCAGGAATTTAGACGCCATAATTTCGTTAATTATCAACGGGCTTTTATGATGAAGCACTTGGCAAAGTCCAGTAATATGACCATAACCAACTAAACCAATCAAACATAAACTAAAAACTCACCATTTTGTTGCAAGCCAGAGGAGAAAGCCTTGAGAATATCTTACAAAAAGATGGGGTGAAGACTGAAAAACAAAACTGCCTCAAAATCCCTTTGCTTTTTCTGTTCAGGTAATGAATGAACAGGGACATCTTTAATTGTTCCCAAAAGCCATAGATTGCCCTAGCACTGTTCTCACACGTAGCTGTACCACAAATATTCATGTTAGGTCAACCAGGAAAGTGAAGTGAATGAAAAACAAATTCTAAAAATAAAATGATAATGACCTTAACATCAACACATGGATCATTAACCATATTCTTCATTTGAGAAAATATCCCAGCATTGCGCAGTTTTTCAAGACGGCCAGATGCGCCAGGACTTAATGGACAAGTAAGATTTAATATTGCCCAGACAGTTGCTGCGCGTAGCTGGCTATCATTACTCTGCAAAAACTTCATCATAAAAGATTGATTCTTGTCATCCATTAGTGGAAAGAGTTGGTGCATTACGGCTTCCTTATGAAACTCATTCCCACTCGCCACATTGCACAGTGCATACATTCCCTACATGGCAAAGAATTCATCATACGCTAAAAAGGGAAAAATACAATTAATGCACTATAAAATCATGGTTTTATTATTTATTTTTGTTCTTTTTATTTCAATTGTGAAAATATGTATCTATGACCTCTAAAATCCTTAAACTTTTGATTTTGACACACTGTGACAGAAGTACATATAGAAACCATATCAAATCCTTGAAAGATACTTGCTAGAATTTTTTACAGTTGCTGCCTTGAACAAAAAGAAGTCAAGAAGACAAATAACCACAATTATAATTAGCTTATTTAGGTGAATACAAACCATACTTCAATAGATAAAAAACAAGTCCTTGAAACCTAACATATATAATGAATTCCTTGATGATATACATTGGCTTATATGCTGATTCAAAATTTATTAGAAAGAACTTACACAAATTAAAAAAATATATACTATAACAGAATGACCTTTCCAATCATTAAGCAAATAAAATAATATCAGGTACAAGTTCAGGCAACTTGTCACATCCAACTAGCCAACTATCAAGTTTGCAAAATTTCTCTCCTAATGGCAACTTTTCAATGTATTTCCCAAAATCAGAATAGCATAAATGATTTGACTCATGAAAAGGGCATCACTGAAGGATGTAGATCTTGAATGCCAGTAAAAGAACTTTCTCCCGGTTAAGGATGCAGAACAATTAAATATGACATCTTCATTCCAAACACGGATGCAAGTTGTGAGATCTTCAATCCAACTTTAAAAGCAATTTCAAAATTTAAATTTTAAACAATTGAATGCTATATATGTTGTTGTTGCATTTTGTTGCTATTCAAACAATAACTGCTCTCTAACTCATTATTTTCCTTGAATCCAAACCTGTATCCCTATCTCAGCTTTTGAAGCACTCTGTAATTGTCTTCCAATGGCCGCTAATATAAGACCATCTTCAGCAAATGCAAACTCAATTGAGTTTATACATCCATCAATTAGATTACGAACAAGGGCCAAAGCTTGCTCTTGCACAGAAGGCTCTGGATCTGCAATGTAAATGCATATTAAGCAGCACCTTGATTTGAACTCACATCAGCACCTAATCTAAAAAACAATGTGAGGGATTGTAAGTAGATAAATCTTATTACCACAGATAAGGCTTGCTAATAAGCATGCAGTGAGTTCTGAGAAAACACTTTCTTTCAACCTGTTGTCTGATAGGAATACAAAGTTCTTCAAAGCCCACAAAGCATTTGACCTGACAGCCGATTCCATCGACTTTGCCAACTGAACCAGCTGCTTCATCCCTCCACATTGTACAAAAATAGATTTACGTGTTGTAAAATCAACCACTATGTTGCTGACAGCACCGAGTGCAGCGACCTGGAAACAAAGGGATTTAATAGACAGTTTTAACATCCACCCCATAAGCTATGATATCGGTTGGAACTAGGTGGATTGACATGTAACCTATAGACAACATAATTGCTGGACAATTAATATAAAGTAAATCTCGTATAATTTGTTTTCTTAATGATTAATCTTAAGTTGATAAAAAAACAGAATACAAGCATATAGCAAAGGTTAAAGCAGCCTTTCAGGTCAAAAGTTAACAGCTTCCAAACTTTACAATATTTCCAAAATATTGACTTCTGTTGATACCAAAATGCACCTTGATAAGTTTTAATAAAACTAAAATGCGAAAAAGAAAACAGGAACCAGCATATTCACAACCCATACAGCATCTAGCAAGGGGAAAGCATGAGGTCTTTCTGGCTTCTGCCGCCACCTAAATCGCCTGCTCATTAATATGGTAAGCCAAAACTGGTCACAAAACCAGACAAAATCAAAGTAAAAAAAAAAAGAATGAATCAAGGAAATAAATTTAAGTAAATTCCATTATAATTTCATGAAATTTGGTTAAAATCCAAAATATATATATATATATATTTAAATTAGGCTGACCTAACACAGTTGAACTCAATAATATGTTTTAGATTTAACTGTCTTTGTCTGCTCAGAGATGTCAGAGCCACAAATATTAAGGAAGAAATTAGGAAAGCAAAATTTGCTTGAAATCAAATGACAACTGAAACATTGAAATGAAACTCCTGCAATTCTTTCTGTTTTGCGTTTTGACCATACAAAGTAGATATTACCTACCAATTATGCAAATTTGAAATTTAACAGCATGATTACCTGGACAGAAGTTGAAGGGTCAAGAAAAAGCCGAACCAAAGGAATCACAATAACTTCATCCATAAAGTAACCTGCACTCAAATTCTGAATTGGTATTTCATCAGCTATATTAGCACATAAAAATCAAAACAAAATACTGCAAAAAATTGTTATCGCATTACAAACCTTGATTGATCGAGTGACACTTTTCAAACATATACAAGCTGCAGTGCGTACATCAGCACTATCGTCAGTTAGTGCATCAGTTACCAAATTCAACACCTATAATTATGAGAAAATATTAGAAACTTCAATGTAGTTGAAGATTCACACAAATAAGAATCTCCAATAAGATTTGCTTGAGAAAGTGTCTTTAAAGAAAATTACAGAAAAAATGCTTGAGCAATAATTCCTTTAAAGAAAATTATCATAACATTTGCTTCAAGCGTTCAAGGGAACACAACAGACATACTAAGAAGCTTTGTAATCTAATTTATAACTTTACGCTGAAAAATATAGAATAACCACAGCATAGAAAATGAAATCTCGAATTGACTGATTGTCAGGTGAGATCTACTTAAGGGTCTCCTTAAATACATCAGATAGACATGGAAGATTTCTAGGGATAAATATTTTTTGTAAAATTGCAGTAAATGCTGTTTTGGCACTTAGGCGTTTCTTTGTTGTCCCAGCAAAGGCAGGACCAATAGGCCTTTACTAGTCAATTAGTGCCCTGTGATCCACTCTCCAAGATTGGAAAGTTCAGTTAAACAGCATGAGGATAAAGAACCTTTAGCCCTTCAAGAAGCAACAGCAGGCATTTGTGAATTTTTGCTTCAGTTTAGGCACAATGCAAGTGGTGAAAATCTATTTCAATACTAAGAGCAGGTCATTACCAGCACCATCACCTTAATGGTGATGAAGCAACTGGTGGCTGAAAAAGTAGCCAAGGCATGACGCCTACCCCTGAAACTTTCCACTGAGCATAAGTCTGTAGAGATGATGCCTGCAACTATGCCTTCTTGCGGCAAGGATAGCTTTTCAAGCAGGCTTTCTATTTATCCTGCTTTACACCTTTACCTAGCTACATGCAAGAGAATAGCGTCTGGGAACATTCGCGATATGGGAAAATCCACCAAAGTAAAAAGGAAGAGGACATTATCTCTGACCTTAATAATATATTTCAAGTAGTAACTTG